CCCCAAAACCCCAAAACCCCAAAACCCCAAAACCCCAAAACCCCAGTTCGCTCACCTATGAATTAATAATAATAAATCCCAAATATGAACTCCAAACTTCTACGAGAAGAGACCATCCTGCACTCAGAGTGGGACTTCTTGAAGAGCCTCGAGGCTATCCAGAGAGGATACCCTCTGGATATCCGCAAGGAAGGCAAGGTCAAGAGGACAGATATTGTACATATAGAATATAGTTAAGTAGAGTGGTGACTGTTTAGATGAGGGAAGGCAGGAGACCACGAAGAGTTTTAGGATTGATACGTTTTGCTCAGACGTCTCGCAATGGGTACGTCTGAGTATTAATCAGAGGAAGGTATCAAAGAAGCATGTGAAGTTTTTAATGAATGTGTGAAATCTTAGATTTACGAAAATCGTTATTGTGAATCATATTAAGGAGAGACCCTATAAACTTCACAATATAATGAGGCCCTTAGGGAAGATCTCAAGCGCAGCCTTAGATATTATTTATATTGAGAGAGTGTATTTCAGCTGAAGACAGTTCAACATAATCTTTAATAATTGATGGGATTGTAGTCTTGTCAGATTTAGATACTGCACACTAGATTTGAAGAAAATCAGAAGGATGCCTTGTAAAAAGGGCAAATCAAAAACTGTCTTTATTGAATACAGCAAATTTTTAAATGGTGATCTCCTACATTACTGACATGATGAATTTAAAGTGCTGATGAAATACTTAACAGCTGAAACATTCATACAGTCTGTGGAAAAGATGTACATCAGCCTTATGATGTTCGACTCCAGTGTTCCAGAACTCGAACAAACATTTAAAAAGGGAAATCCAAATATTGATCTCACCATCAAGCCTCTTGATGAGCTCCACAACTTATTTGGATGGGAATGCTAATTTTTGCCGCTCTCCCAGTTCATATTTGGTCGAAAATTTTATTTCCAACGTTGCCACCTTAATTCGGGGTTTTGGGGTTTTGGGGTTTTGGGGTTTTGGGG